AAAAATTTACAACCACTGATGTCAGGCCTCCTCTGTCAACGTGGGTTTTAGGGGACACTAGATGGATCATGAGCATCAGGATGTTCCTCAGTGATGCATCACCTCATTGTTAGGAGCTGTGATCAGAAAATTGCATGACCTGAGACTAGATGCCTGCTTTTGTCTTGGTGTTTATCCTTATAAGAAGGTCTCATATAGTATTTGTATAAGTACACCATTTTTTTGTATGAGTACAAATTTGTATGAGTACAAATACAGCATTTTCTCAGTATAAGATTCTCCAGGTCCATCCATATCATGAGGTGCTTAGTGGTTTCATCATTATCTTAAAGAGATGCCTACTATTTCATTGTGTGTGTCGGTATGCAGCAGAGTTTTTTTTATCCATTCTTCTACTGATGGGTACTTGGGATGTTTCCAGCTTCATGCTACTCTGAACTGTTCTTCCATGAACATGGGAGTGCGTATGACTGTTTGCGCTGCACCTCTTACTTCTTTGGGGTATATATTCGGCAGAGGTACTGCTGAGTCCTGCGGTGTTTCTATTCCCAATTGTTTTAGGTAGTACCTTATTATTTTCCACAATGGTACATATTTACAAGTCTATTAGCATGTGAAAGTATTGCAGTCTCTCGGTACCTGTTCCAGCATTTGTTGTTTTCATTTTTATGAATTGTATGTGTATGTGTAAGGTGATATTTCATCATACTTTTATTTTGCAACTCCCAGGTGAGTAGTGATCCTGTGCACTTTTATATGTGTTTGTTATCTATTTGAGTGTCATTTTGGTGAACATTCTTTTAATGTTTTTGCCCTCTTTTTTGTCATTTACTTTTATTTGCCACCATACTAGTGCTTCCAGCCAAGAAAATTAGGGAAGAAAAACATGTGTTATCAATTTTGAAAGAAAAATAAAATTACCTTCATTTGCAAGTGTGATGTTTTAATATTGACTAGTAAATATTTCTCAAATATTTTTTCCTGTGAGAAGTTAAAAGAAGTCACCTCCCGACACAACCGCTGAAGACAAAGCTGCTGATTAAGCAAATGTGGTGAAGAAAGCTGATGGTACCCTGCTATCAAAAGATAGAGTGTCTGGGGTCTTAAAC